TCTGATGTTGCCTGAGTTGTTAATGTTAGCCATTCTGACAGGTGTGAGGTAGCATCTCATTGTGATTTTGATTTGTATTTCTCTGATGATGAGTGACATGGAGCATTGTTTCATGTGTTTCTTGGCCATCTGGAGGTCTTCTTTAAAGAAGTGTCTGTTCAGGGCGCCTGGGTTGCTCAGTCGGTTGCTCATGCGACTTCAGCTCAGGTCATGATCTCACAGCTCGTGTGAGTGCGTGGGTTCGAGTCCTGTGTCCAGCTCTGTGCTGACAGCCAGCTCAGAGCCTGGAGCCTGTTTCAGATTCTGTGTCTCCCTCTCTCTCTGACCCTCCCCTGCTCACGCTGTCTCTCTCTCTCTCTCAGAAATAAATAAAACATTAAAAAATAATTTTTTTAAAGAAGCGTCTGTTCATGTCTTTCGCCCAGGAAATTTGTACATCTAATGTTAAAAACTCCCAACATTTGGGGGAGAAAGGAACCCTTAGTGCATTATTGATCTCACCACTCTGAGAAAACCACTTCCTCTCACATTCCAGTGGAACATACCTGGCTCCAATTTGCAGGAATTTCTTTTTTTTTTTTAATTTTTTTTTTTTTTAATTTATTTCTAGGAGAGAGAGAGACAGCGTGAGCAGGGGAGGGTCAGAGAGAGAGGGAGTCACAGACTGAAACAGGCTCCAGGCTCTGAGCTGGCAGTTAGCACAGAGCCTGACGCGGGGCTCGAACCCACGAACCACGAGATCATGACCTAAGCGAAAGTCAGACGCTTAACCGACTAAGCCACCCAGGCGCCCCTGGAATTTCTGTTCCTGATGGGTTTTGAACAAATTGTCAAATTCTACTGATTCATCTTAAGACCCAGCATGGAAGCCCCCAGCCTAAAGATTTCTATCTGGGTGTGGACTGGCAACTTCACTGGAGCAAAGGGTTATTACCACAGAAAATTGGAAGTCATAAATTTTCCTTTCTTTGTTTTTATTTTGATTGTGGTTATTGTTTGTTTGCTTTATTTGAGCCCTTGAACCCTAGAATCCCCCTGCCATGTAATAATGACATCGGCAGAGCGACAGTGAGACCCTCCTTCCAAGTTTATGCCAGGAAAGTCAGTTTATGGTTAGAGACTGGTATCACAAAGCAGTACTTAATTAAACTGATCAGTTACACTCAGTGGACACTTATTTAATAAATATTAAAAGACCAACTCAATAAATGAGTTTATGCTATGACTCTGGAACTAGCAAAATTTTAAAAGCACAATTCCTCATTGAAGAAGTAATAAATAAGACTCATTGCTAGGGGAATCAAATGTTGCCTCTCTCATAGGATTTAGATTTTTTGGTGGTATTTTTAGCATCTATGGCCCTATTAAACCCTATTGTTTTCTTCCTAATTTGTGCCATTTAGGAATGATTTTCATTTAACTTTCCCATGGCTCATTTCTCTCCTTCAGAACATTTCCATATGATTCCCTGATAAAGTCCATGCTTTAACACATTTCTATTATAAAACTGTAATAAGCACCAACTAAATAGCAATATGAAATAGCCAGAACATAAAGGACTGACAGGAGAAGAAATTGGTCAGCTGGGTAGTTAATTTTTATTCTTGAATGTCTGCTGCACTTTTTGTCTCTTATGGTTGTTTTTAACCCTCTCAATAAGATTCCTTGCCTGACAGACAAGGACTCTGAGGAGACAATTCTCACAATTCTTTTTTTTTTAATGTTTACTGCATATTTTTTGAGAGAGACACAGAGAGAGAGAGAGAGAGAGTGTGTGTGTATGTGTGTGTGCATGTGCATGAATGGGGGAGGGGCAGAGAGGGAGAAGGAGACACAGACTCTGAAACAGGCTCCAGGCTATCAGCTGTCAGCACAGAGCCCGATGTGGGGCTTGAACTTGGGACAGACGAGATCATGACCTGAGCCGAAGTCAGATGCTTAACCAACTGAGCCACGCAGGTGGCCCTATCCCACAATTCTTAAGGGCCATGGTTTTTCCCCCATAACAAAATCATCAAGCAGTACCTTTTAACGACACAATAATTGTTGTTCTTCAACCTAGCCCCATAATGGAAAGGAAAGGTTTTCATTTTTGCTCCTTCCTTTTACCCTTTGGGCTATGCAGAATCCCCCTTACCTGTTCTGTTTAATGGGCCTGAGTACTCTAGAGAATTAGTGAGGGCCAGTTAGCAACTGGAGCCCCTTCAAAAATTAGTGTCAATTCAACAAGTACTTATGGAATACCACTCCCTCCTCCATGTCTTGAGAAATACAGACATCATAGAACTTAGCTCCTGCCTGCTTAAGACTCAAAAGTTGTCTGTAAGTAGCCACCTAAACAAATGGTGATTATCCAGGTCTGACTCTGGTCATGACCAGTAGCATCCATAGATGTGAAAAGTACAAATTGTGTTTCTCTGAGCTTATTCTCTCTGTATTATCTGAAGTAAAAGTAGACTTATTATATGAAGTAAAAGGTAGACATTAAGACCAAGGTGAGAAAAAGAGCTAAAGAGGTGTGAGAAATAGGAAACACTTAGAGAGTCAGATGATAACCTTATTAAATGTGTGTCTGCTCCCCCAGCCTCCTAATCCCCAACACTGTCCCAGCTCTGTACATGTGCATCCTGACATTATAATCTGGCTACAGGTCTACTGAAAACGGAGATGGCCTGTGGGTACCAAAGATATGCCAACTAGGGGTCATAGGAAAAGCCTTGTGGAAGCAGAAGGATTTACTTAGGCTTTGAATGAAGGGTAGGGATTTATCAGCTAGAAGTAACAGTATGAGCAATATTAAAATAGCATACACATCTGAGGGGGAAAATAAATCCATGTGACTGGAGAATTTTTTTTATAAGAGGTGCTCTTTTTTATACCACTAGTCAAGAGGATGGGTCAGCATCTTCCTACTTAGATGTGCTCCCTATCTTCCAACAGCTTTTCATTGAGGTTAGCTCCTCTGCTACTGGTATAAATTGCAGAGCATAAATAGTAAAAACAGCAAACCAATATATGACCCGACATTAAAATGGGTATATCAGAGAAACATGTAACTAAACAGGTGTTTTTTTTTTTTTTTTTTTTAACCTCCTATCTGTCTTTGAGGTTTCCATAGGAGGGGGGGTGATTTAAGCTCTGCTTAGTACTGATAGCTTTAGAAAAAGAGGCCCCTTTCAGGATATTCCACCCATTTGTTCTCACATCCATACATGAGGTATGAGAAAATACTTTTTAAATTAATATTTTCATCTACCATGTTTGTACCAAGTTGTTTTAGCAGACTTTCACGCATCTCATATGAAAGCCAAAGAGCTTACTAAAATGATCTGGTACCTATTGAAAAGTTTCTAGAAGAAGCCCACAAATTCAGTGCAATCTTCATTTCTTGCTGTAGTTGAGTTGGCTAAACCATCAGCTGTCATCAGCTTACTTTCCAGGTGTCTGCTCGGTTGGGGTCCTGTCTTTTCATTTTTGTAGATTTTTCTCTTACATCTACCATGGTAGGAGTTTTTCAGGCAGACTTTTCTCCCTTACAAGTTATTACCTCCTTATTCTAATGTAGATTCTGTTCCAAACCTTTCATTCCATTCTTGGCAGCATTCACAGCATGAAATGTGATTCTTCTATTACTTAATTCCTTACTTTCCTACACCCATTTCCACTTCTATTTCCCCATCTCCTTTCATTTTGCCCTCACATATTTTTCACTTTGTGGTTTTCCTTTTCCTTGTGAGCTCTACGTGAGAGAGCCAAATAGAACCCCACGGTTAAAAATAGTTTTTGACATTATTTGTGATTCCTAAGATGTAGTCTCACAAATAACCTTTTCTTATTTGATTTCCATCTAACATGCTGACGGTGCTCCAATCTTGTTTTCTGATTATCCCATTACATAGTGCTTTCCCTCGCGTTTAGTGGAAACTTGCAAGTAACGGTTCTGTTTGGATAGCACTGCCTAGTCATCATTTACAATTTTGTGGAATTAGAAAGGCAGTAGGAGAAAAGAACTCAGGCCTGAGTTTTTATTTAAAAGGAAAAGCACTAGTTAACTATTTTGGTAATAGGTTGAATCACTCTTCATTAGCGTGCTGTATTAGGGCTATCTTTGTGATCTAGAGTAACCTATCATGCAATGAAACATTTTCTTACCAAGGGAAAGCGCTATGCTCTATATTGACTAATGCATTTTATATTCTGTCTTAAATAGGCAGGCAACTCAACTGTATCCCATTGGGATACAATTGCAGGGGGAAGAAATCATCACAAACAAATGCACAGGAAGTAACCTAAGAATTCATTTACTATAATCATTGTTTTTACCATAAAAGTGTAAATATTCACAGTCAGTAGTCAATCACGCACAGCCTTTAACAGTCTAGCAGTGTTTGTCTTATGTGCTTATGTGTGTCTGTGTGTTACAGCTAGGCGCTGAAAACTTCCTACAAATAGCTGAATTCATATGAAGCCACAATACCCAGGAGGCTAAATGAATGCTTGTTAGCATTGATCATTCAGGGGCATAAAAAGAAATTTCCGGTGCAAATAACAGCACTTTTCTTATGCATTCTAAGGACCTTTTATATTCAAGAATAAGTTTTCCTTACATATATTTGTTTCAATTGACATCTTAAAGTACATCTGAGAATACAATATGGCATATAATTGAGAGCTGGACCATCTAACAGATAATGTGTGAGGTCTTCAAGGAAATGAAATGGTAATGGAATTCCTATTCTCAGTGGTAGGAAATGACTGTCCTTTGTTCTCTTCTGTGAAGGCATACCATCATATCTTAGTTGGTTTTGCCAGTATGTTTCTTTAGGCAAGTCAGTAATTTCAGAGAAGCCAAATACATCTTGCTTTTTGGGAGTGTAATTTGGCTTTTAGCCAGAATATAGTTCTTGGCTTATGTTCAGCAGACCTTACTAAAAGATAGGCTGTTTTTATATAGCTTGGGTAGTTCCACGTAATTTTTTTTCCTTTCCTATTTTTGACAGGTGCATGAGGCAATCCCATGTTACAGTGAATGCAATCAGTATTCCTGGGTTGTAGAACACTGGTCTCCATGCAAAATCCACAATGAGCTGAGATCTCTGCGCTGTGGAGGAGGAACGCAATCTAGGAAAATCAGGTGTGTAGAAATGGAGACATTTGGGAAACGGGCCAGTGGAACTCATACATATATGTGTGTGTGTATATATATATATATATGTGTGTGTGTGTGTATATATATATATATATATATATATAACACAGTGTTGCTTATCCAAGTACACTCTGATTTTCACACCACATACTCTGGCTTTTCCTCATCATCCAGTATCTGTGGAAGCATATGTGCCCTAACTGCCACGTGTACAGTGGGATTTCCTCTGCAATCCAGTCACAGTCCTTACTGTTTCCTGCAAATGACTTAGGTGGGAAAGCTAATTGCATGCAGGCAGCTGGCATCCCCTCACTGATTCATAGCCATAACTGTTAACAGTTATGGAGAGTTTGAAAACAGGAGATTTTGGCTGTGCTACCATATCTCTTTTTTGCTCTGTGGGTAGTGTGGTTGATGGACATGATCTTCATTTTGAATGTCATTACATTGAAAAGCTCAATTTAAACCTTCCTATTAGCCCTGGAAATAAAGTCTGAGAATATAAACAGTAGCGATGAATTTTAATATAAAGAGAGCACACCTCTGAAAGAACTTAGTGAATTCTGGGTTATTTACAGACGGATCTTCTTTCATGTTTTTGTCTTGTGAATAAAGCAGTGATAAGCAAAGGAAACACATGTCTGAACTTGTCAAATGGCCTATTTAAAATGATTTGGAAAGAATGTCTTTACCAACTGAGAATAATGGTAATAAATGTTAAAGATTGAAAAAGCAAAAACTAAAATATTAATGATAAACAATGGCTAGTATGTGAAATCAAGAAGAAAATATAGTCAATTATTCAGTCACATGAGCATAGGGTATCATTTTGCAAGATTTAGGAAGCTCCATGTCAAACGGACAGACAGTGCTCAAAGCCTATAACTCCCTATTGAGTTCACTGTTGGATTGAAGTCAGTTGCCAAGGCAGAGCCTACTTATTTGTACTGATTGTTACTAAACATCAATGAACCTACTTTATTCAGTAATTCAGTATGCACCCACCATTTCTGTGACTTAGTCCCAGTGTTGCAAAACCACTGGTAAGCATGTTGGAAGAAATAGCTATTAATGAAACTATAGTAGTTCTCCTCCTCATCAACCCAAGCAAATAGCTAATAGATGAGTTGTCTTTTTGTCACTTTGTTTATTGCCTTTTCTCTTGGGACTAGTGTGCTCAGGCTGTCACAGACTTTTTTCTCTTCAAAATCTGTGCATCCTGTGTCTTGTTCTCATGGTTTCGAGAAATGACTGATCAACCTAGAGTATCAAGGAACAACCAGATGAGCTGTGGTACCTCCCATTCTCATCCCAGCCAAGCCTCTTAGCAGTACTAAAGCAAAATCGCACGAGAGAAAGGAAAGCTTTAAGAGAATAAATTGCTATCGACAGAATTATGGGAGAGTGATTGAGGGAAAAGATACTTAAACAAGAAGGCTTTTAATTTCTCAGCTCAAACATAGAGCTTGATAGAATAAAAATAACACAGCTACTGAATATCACTCTGATATGGGCTAAATTGCAATCCTCCAAAATCTATGTACTGTAGTCCAAAACTTGAGTACCTCAAAATGTGGCTCTATTTGGAGACCAGCTCTTTAAAGAGGTAATTAATGTTAAACGAGGTCACTGGGATGGGCCCTAATCCAATCTGACTCATGTCCTTATAGAAAGAGGAGATTAGGGGACAGACACACATACACACACACACACACACACACACACACACACACACACACACAGGAAGACCATGTAAAGCCACAGGGAGAAGAGAGCCATCAGCCATCTACACACCAGTGAGAGAGGTCTCAGAAGAAACCACCCTTCCAGCAACTTAATCTCAGACTTGGAGCCTCTAGAACTGTAAGAAAAAATTTTCTGTCGTTTAAGCCACCTAGTCTGTGATATTTTGTTTTGTCAAGTTTGTCATTAAATATGGGAAGCAGATTTTCCAAGTGTGTTGCATTCTAAACCATTATAGACCTTAGTAAGATGCTGTTAGGATGAATAAAATAGCTTATCCTTTCTCTTTCTGGAAACCCCTAAGCTGGAGGACATCTTCATGGTTCATCTTAGGTTGCATTCTTCTATTAATTCAAGAAATATTCTACGTATCAGGCACTCTAGGCACTGGGGATAAAAAAGTAAACAAAAGTCTATCCTCAAATAACTTATAGCCACAGAAAAAAAGATAAACACATAAATATAATGGGATGGCTTTCCTATGAAATGCCAGGAAAAAAACTGGATTGGAATGATTGGTGATATTGTTTTGGAGACATTGGTCAGCAAAATATTTAAGCGGAGATCTGAATAAGATGAGAGATCTGAATGAATATAAAGATCTGTAGAAAGAAATCCCAGGGAGAGGGAGTGTCCAAAGCAGAAAACTTTTTGGCTTGTTATAAGAAGATGAATAAAAAGGTGTTCCATATGGCTGGTGTCACTACTCAAATCATACCGCCTTCTAAAACAAAGTAAAAGGATTTTTTTCTAACTGCAACTTGAGGAGATGAAACGTTTGAGACAGGAAATTACATCATCTTATTTACATTTGAAAGGACCTTGTCTGATGTATTGAAGAGAAGGTATTTTGGAGTCTATAAGTAGAAACAGGGATGAGGGTTTCAAGGACACTGACGGTTAGATTGGCCTTGGTAATAATGACGGTGGTGAGCAGGTCACATTTGGACTATTTTTGGAAGGTACAGACCACAGGATTTATTTATAAAGTGATTGTAGAATGTGGTAGAAAGAAAAGCATCAAAGATGATGGCTAGGTTTTAGTACCTGAACAATCATAGGAATGATGGTGTCATTTGTCGAGATGAGGAATATTAGACACAAATTTGAGAGAGAAAATCAAAAGCTAGCTTTTGAACACATTAAATTTGAGATGATTTTAGCCTTCCAACTGCGATAGTACTGTTTGGAGTTGAAAGAGAGAGAGTGGTATAAATTTGGGCTTCAACAGCTTATATATTTGGTATATTTTGATAAGACAAGACATAAGAAATGGAGCCCTGAGAAATTCCGGTATTCATATATGACCACAAAGAGAAAGCTACAGAAGAAGACTGAGAAAGAATAGATGGAAAAGGAGGAAAACCATGAAAATGGGAAGATAGAGGGTTTTTCAAGAAAAAAAAATACGAATCAGATTTTTCAAATGGTTCTCAGAAATTTACGAAGGTGAGAATTGATGGTTGAGTTTGGCAATGGGGAGTCTGTTAATGATGCTGATGAAAGGTTTCTCTAGATTAGTAATAAATATATGCCTAAAGTAAATTCAGTAGGTGTTTATGGAAGAAGTGGGAGAAAGCATGCGGAGATAGCAAATATAGACAAGCTTTAAAGCAGTTTTGCCATGAGTTTTGAGTAAAACTGAGGTGACAATTGAAGGGACCTATGGCAAGGAAATTGATGATGCAGACTATGTAACTGCAAGGTCATTTTCATTTGGGACCATCTTCAATTTCAGTCTTTTTAAGTCTTTGCTCTTGGGCTTGTCAGAAACCCCAGAAAAGTCTCTTTTTAAATCATCCGTGAAATAGATAATACTAGCAGCCAGTGTTTGGGGAACCTAATGAAAGGCTGTTGATGTGGTAGACAGAATGGTGGCCCCCCAAAGATATCACATTTTGATCACTGAAATCTGTGAATATGTTCATTTACATACCAAAAGGAGCTTTGCAGATGTGGTGTTAGGATTGAGAAGGGAAGATATTCCTGGATTGTCTGGGTGGGGACAATTTATTCACAAGGGTTCTTAAAAATGAGAAGGGAAATGGGAGGAAAATGTCACTACAGGTGTAAGGCATAGAGAGATGCAAGTCTGCTAGACTTAGAAGTTGGAGAAGGGGGCCATGCCCAGGGAATGTGGGTGGCCCCTAGAACCTGGAAAAAGGTTCAGCAGTGGTCTCTCCTCTAGACCATCCAGAAAGGACTCCAGCTTTGCCAAAGCAAAGATGTTAGCTTAGAATGATCCATGTTGGATTTCTCTACTACAGAGATGTAAGATAATAAACCTGCATTATTTAAATTTTTTTTAATTTTTTTATTTACTTCTGAGAGGGCGTGAGCAGGGGAGGGTCAGAGAGAGAGGGAGATACAGAATCTGAAACAGGCTTCAGTCTCTGAGCTAGCTGTCAGCACAGAGCCGGACACAGGGCTCGAACCTATGAACCATGAGATCATGACTTGAGCCAAAGTCCAACGCTCAACTGACTGAGCCACCCAGGCGCCCCTGCCTTATTTAAACCTCTAGGTTTGTGGTCATTTTTTTTTCAGTGTGTTACCTCATACTTAAACCCTTGTTTTTCAGTATGATACTCCCATCCTTAAGTGAGCCACTCTCTAGTCCAAAGATTCTTATTGTGCCCTCTTCCAGATAATAAACCTTCAGTTATCTGCAAGGGGAATGGAGAGGCCATCAATCAGCCTTTGGACTGGGGGAGGGAAGGGGTGCAGTAGGAGGGGATCTAAGGGCCCAGATACTTCTTAAAAACACTATCAGTAAATCTGTCTTCCAGTTTTTCAGCCTCACCTTCATCCACATTTCCAGAGGCACTTGTTGCCACAATTCCTGAATTTTTGTGTTCTGGAGTATAAATGGAGTTACTTCCTTTGTTTTTTCTTGAAGTCTTAGTATTCACTTTTCTTGGTATGTATGCTAAGTCAGTTACCACTAGTCCATCTATTTCCATTTGTTGCCTTTGTCCTTTCCTATATTTTTTGTCCTTGTAGGGTAATGCCTTTCTCTCTCTACGTTGGGTTTTTGGGTTTTCTTTGTTTGTGTCCTTTTTGTGGTTTTTGTAACAAATTCTTTTACTATTGTTTTCGTGCAATATTGGGAGTGAACAAAGGCTAATGCAAACGTTGAATTTGATGCCACTGACCAGAAGTCTTTTCTTTCTCAGTGAAAGAAATAAAGCAACATCAGCTGAGAGTATGTGGGCAAGAAGGAAAGCAATTTCCAGTTTTTAAGTTTGTCCAGAGCAAGACACATAAGCTATTTTGTGGTCCTTCCTTCCATTGACTCTTACCACAAAAGAAATTAAAGTTCATAGATGACTCTATATAGCACCTCCCTATATTAGAAAGCATTACTTACATCTTCTCTCTTCTATTCTACGTTAACCTTCCTTAGACAATATATAGTCTTTCATTACTTAGCACCTCATAAAGCTTATTTTGTTATGTACAAGGTAATGGACTACTTTGCAATTTTCCTGAATTAAAAGCAAAATGTGGGGCGGTTGGTTGAATGTCCAGTTCTTGATTTCGGCTCAGGTAATGATCCCAGTGTCATGAGATTAGCTCTGTGTCCAGTTCTGTGGAAAGCATAGAGTTTGCCTAAGATGTTCTCTCTTTCTCTCTGCCCTGTTCCCCGCTCATGTTTGATCTCTCTCTCTCTCTCTCTCTCTCTCATAAAGAAAAAAAATGCAATTCCCAATGTATAGGATAATTCAGTCTAGTAAAGCATGATTTGAGGAGCACCAAAAGCTCTCCAGCATATCCATTTTAAAATGCTTATTCCTTATCTATGGCATTGTGTCTGAAATTGTCAGATCAGCAAATGTCATTATTTAACTCTTCATTATTGTCATTTTCACCTTCACTTTGATTATTATCACTAGGAGAAAAGTGTCCTAGTGGTCGGGATCTTGTCTGTCTCTGTCTCTTCTTCTGTATCTCAACAGCCAGGCAAGGGCCTGGTACACAGTAAATCCTAAAAAAAATAGTTACTGAATGAATTATTATTGGTGAATACTAACTTTGTATCCCACACCTAGCAAAAGAGACTTGCACACAGCTAGTATTTCTTAAACATTAAAAAAAATGAATTCAAACATGAAAGTCAAATTGGCATTTAATATAAATACAGAGAAATGCCCACTCATGGGGTATAGTTGAATGGATGTTCACAACCAGGACACAATTGTGTAGCCAACCCAGAGGCTGAGAAATAAAATATTACCAGGACTACTTTAAGCCCTTATCAATAAGTAACCATTCCCCCAAACTACTATTCTGACTTCTGATACCATAGATGAATATTGGCTACTTCTTAACTTTATGTGAATGGAATCATATAGAGCACACTCTTTTGTGGGCTTCTTTTGTTCAGCATTGGATTTGTGAGCTTCATCCACACACTATCATATAACAATAGTTCATGCATTCCCACCACCTTATAGCATTTAATTGAATTACCACAATATATTTATCTGTTGACTTTGTTGAATATTTGGACTGTTTATAGTTTGGATGATTATGAATAGTACTAATATGCATACACTCTGTCAATTTTTTTTCTTTTTTGGTACACATTCATGCACATTCCTTTTGTACATGTAAATAGGAGTGGAGTTATTGGGTTGCATAATATTTATATATTTCACTTTCGTAGATATTGACAACTAGTTTTTCAAGGAGTTTATGCTCCAACTGACAGAGTAAGAAGAGTTACAGTTGTGGCATATTCTGACAATGCTTGATATTTTACATGTTTTTTATTGAAGCCATTCCAGTGGGTATGTAGTGGTATAATACTTTGGTTTTGATTTGATTGAATCAATAGCATCATTATTTTATTTTGCCTTTGCCAGCATTTATCTCAAGCCTGACATAGATTAGACCAAGCATCTGTATACCATGTGCTCAAATGCTGCATGTAAATGCTTATATATTGCCCTTTCGTTTGTGACATCAAATACCTTACTGAAATGTAGAGAATACCTGAAAGATAAACATGTTCAATTATGTTTCACATTAGTTGGCCATGACCTTAAATGTGTTGGACGAAGATTAAGGAAGTTTGGATGATGTGAGACACAAGTGTAGGAAATGTCTAAGAGAGTCACAAGAACTATGAAGGCTCTCACCTTTACAAAAGTGCTGATGAATTCATTCAGAGAAGGAAAGCCTTCAAAATTTGTTACAGTAAAAAGAAAATTCACTCACTGCTGGACCTGAGTAAAAAGAGTGTAGGTCTCTTGAGATACAGTTCTTCAAGAATGACAGTGGACTCCAGTCTTTGTGTTGTTCTCTCCTGGTCTGCTGAATAAAGGGTTATCTTGCAATAAAGATCAACTGGCTGAAGAAGGGATATTTTTTCCTAGATTTCTCTGCTAGTCTTATTATGTTTAACTATCTTTGAGGTGTAAGTAACTATGTACATCATAACTGTGTTAAATTTACTTAATTGTTTTATCTTTTGATGTGACTTTACAGGTGTGTGAGTGCTGCGGACAGTGAAGGGGGAGCCGTGGATAACAGACTGTGCAACCAGGATGAAATTCCCCCAGAAACCCAGCCCTGCACTCTCTTGTGTCCCAGTGAATGCGTCATGTCCGAGTGGGCACCTTGGAGCAAATGCCCACAGGTAATTTCTCTTCCCTTGTCCATATCCTAATCCCCCAGTGCTTCACTGTTGGCCATGGTGTATTCACAGTACTTGCTCTTCAAAACATTCTTCTAGTAACATGAGAATAGAAGTTTGCCTAAGAAGGAAGAAAAAAAATTCAGCAAGTGAGACTGAACAATCTAAAATGCCAGTGCTTCTCTTAAGGCCTTTATCATGGGAACACGAACAAGGAAAATAAGCCTATAATGATCCCACTAGGATTAGAATGCACACCCATTGTTAAAGAGGTCTTCTTTAGCACCAAAACGATTCTCATTATAATCTCTTGGTTCAGTTCCATTTTTATCCTGGCAGAATCAATTATATCTTAGTAGCTCAATTCTACTGTGTAATTTAGCTTGTTAGTGATGATCTGTTTTTGCCTTTTGCTGTTTTCCCAAAGATGAGGTGTTCTTTTGTCATGTTCTTCTTCCAGAGCTGACAAAAACCTTTTTTAAAGTCTAAAGAATTTGCCTTTTTCTTTTTTAAAAAAATGGAAACATAACGTGAGTATGGAAAAATAAGTATTCCTCAAATAGAACGGTTCCACTTAATATTCTCAGAAGCTAAACTCTGATATTTTAGACTCATATTTCAGCTTACAGAGCTAAAAATGAGGATAAGGAATATGTTATATGGCTCCAAACATTAAGAAAAGAAGACTTAGGGTACTTTGAATTCAGTGCTGATACTGACATTTTATAGGAAGATAGTGTAAAATCTGTATATGGAAATGGAAAATAATTTTGAAATCAGTTAACATTCTACATTTATAGTTTCGTATTATTGATTCATTAAATATTGTAGTCTTATCTTTGACATTTCCATAATTCTTTCCCTAAAGAGATTTCCCTTTGTTATTTTTTTTTCTTTGTTGTATCTTGTTTTGTGGAGTAGGACAACACAATGTTAAGATGAAGAGATATTAAGGGTAATTTGTAGGAATGCAGTGTTTGCCCTACTAAGTCACTTATTTTGTGTAACTTAAATATAATTAAAGTTAACATTTATTTTTTTTTAAATTTTTTAATGTTTTATTAATTTCTGAGAGAGAGAGAGACAAAGTGAGCACGGGAGGATCAGAGAGAGAGGGAGATACAAAATCTGAAACAGGCTCCAGGCTCTGAGCTGGCAGTCAGCACAGAGCCCGACATGGGGCTCGAACCCATGAACCATGAGATCATGACCTAAGCCGAAGTCGGATGCTTAACCAACTGAGCCACCCAGGTGCCCCTAAAGTTAACATTTATTGAGCACTTACTGTGTGCAAGGCACATGTAAAATTATTCTCTTTAGACTCTATACCAATCCTAAGTAACTACTATTATCAATCCCATTATACAGATGGACAAACTGATTCTCAGGAAGGCTAAGTAGCTTGCACAAAGTTTTACATTGAATAAGTGATGGAGCTGGGAATAAACTTGATGCCGTCTGCTCTTTGTAAGCCTTTGCTCTTACATCCTTGGCTCCCTTATTTTAGAAGAATTAAGGTAGATTTAGACCCACTACTTCTCTTTCTTTAAGATGCAGCATATTTTTATTTTAAGAACAAAGCGAGTTCAGGGCACCTGAGTGATTCAGTCAGTTGAGCATCTGACTCTTGATTTCAGCTCAGGTCATGATCTAAGGATCATGTGATCAAGCCTGAGTTCCATGTCAGGTTCCATACTCAGTTTAAGATTCTCTCCCCGCCCCACCCCATCTCCTCCTCTCTCCCCAACTCTCTCTCTCTCTCAAATTAAAAAATTAAAAAGATAGAAAAAAGTTAATTGTATGATTATTCTGTGACTACATATAGATAGTTACAGGTACATATATTCACACTTTAGAAAATGTGGCAGCATACATTCTTTATTAGTCAACTTGCAGAAGAATTCGCAACCTGAGTAAGTTAAGTTAAATGTAGAGGTCGTGATCTTCCTCACTTCTCTTTTTTCTAATTTGCTGACAGTAAACTCCATTAAGTTGTAACTACTTTACAATGAAAATGTTGCCTCTTCAGTCAAGGATTTTGGCCACTGAGCTAAAATGTCTGTTGTAGGAGCACTTTGTACAATGTTGTGATGGCCTGTTATTCTGCATTTATTTCTTTGAGTTTCTAAGAGACAGTTTTCTTAAAGGTTGCTTTTCCAAACATAATCACACTATCTTTGGAGCATTTAGAAATTGGAGATAGAGAAAACATTTCAGCTGCCTTTCTTCTGTCTGGAAGATGACATTGGCAATTACTCACTTGTCAGCATGAAGTGAGAGGGTTGGTCTGTCAACTGCTTATGTACCTGCTCAGTAAAATAATACTAATAGTAGTAGTAGTAATAATAATAATAATAGCTATGACAACAGTAATAACTTTCATTGAGTACATCTTACATTACAAGCACTGTGCTGGAATTTTAAAACACTATGCTATGATGACAGACATTTGTCCACAGTCACTCAGGTCTGTTCGACCCAATGACCTTGTTCTTTCTAGATGCCACGCTGCTCTCAAGCGTAAACAAAAATTTTAAAATGGAAAAAATGGTAATCAAGGCTCAAACCTGATTCTTTTACCCATCTCTTAAATGTGTTGCATAATTTTAATAAATTGGAACATCTTAGCATAAAGTCCCAACATCATAGATGCTTAAGCAGTACTTGGTAATGATCATGATCATGATTATAGCAAAGTTAGCAAGCTGGATCTTTGTACTTGAAGTTTAATTAGCACTTCAGTGTGCATTTTCTGAGGAAAATAAAAACAATTATTGTGTAATTGTTCTCAATAGAATGTACTGATTCGTGGATCTAACTATTGGCCATTATTTTACCAAATTCTCCTTTGATAGTCAGCAGTGTGACATATGTTAACAGGACCAATTCACTGTTTTTCTTTCATCTTTTTCTTCCAAGGGCACTTCCTTAGAATCAAACACGTAACCAAAATAAATAAATAAATAAGGAAAAGTGCCCCCCACCAACAAACAAAAACCCTCAGGATATTTCTGAGACAAAAATGCGTTTGCCTTTATATCTATACAGTACTCTGAAATTTACATTTTGATTTAGCTATAAAAACTATATTTAATGTGAAAGAAGCTTAATATGGCTTAAACATCGTAAATAGTTCTGCCAGTTAATTAATAGAAACTTAGCCAAACCAGTTAATCAGGAAAACTATGTCTTGATTTCACAGTGTGTATCCTACACTTAGGCCAAGCAGGTGTGACAGACCATCACTGCTACCAAAGAACTCGAGTCCTAGTATCCTTGTAAGTGTGTACTGTGTCCGTATAACAAAAGATTCAATAGCTGAGTAGCAGTGTTTATTAGTTCCCACAGTGTTGACTAATAAAGTGGTAGGCAATATATAAAATGATTAAGTATACTTCCTAACCTCTGGGTCAATGATTTTCACTCTCACACATGTAAGAAGCCTCTAGAAAGTACATTTACACATGGTATCTCTACCCTGTCCCTTAGATTCTGATTTAGTACATCTGAATGGGGCTTATGAGTTTGCATTTATAAAATTTCCAGGTGACGCTGATTCTGCTGCTCTGGGAACACAATCTGAGTCCCAAGACTGTAGTCCATTACATTCAAGTCCTGTTTTTTTTTTTTTTTCCTCAACCTCACTGTAATCGCAACTATTTTTTGAATACTGAGTGAGCATCTAGCATTAATTGGATACCTAGCTTATATTTACAGATGCTTTTCATGTGCCAGACAATGTGCTTAGCACTTTGTATTTATTATCCCACTTAATCTGCAGAATGCCACATGAAATATACTCTTATCCTCCCAATATATAAATGAGTAAACTGAGTCTCAGGTTAGTAACCTGCTGCTTTTAAAGAGCTAGCAAAAGGCACGATGACTACTTAAGTCTATGTAATCTGTACACAATCCCCAACTACTGCAAAAGAAAAAGAATCCATATTTCCTGTCCTAGAGAATATGCTAACCTTTAAAATCTATTGTCTCTTTTTGTGGTTTACTTTGGTTATTGGATTTGTGAATAAGTTGAATAATCTACCTCATTTGACTAGTTTGCCAAGGAGGGAGAGAAAAGTAGTCACAAAAGAGGGTGTGATCTAAGGCACAGGAGGAACACTTGCTGGCTGTGTGGCTGTGGCCAACTCCTTAAACTTCTGAGTTACAGATTCTTCACAGGAAAATAAGAACAATGGCCACTGCTTTCCAGATCACTTAAAGATTAGAGATAATGTGTATAAAGGGAACCGCACAAAGTATTACTTAATATAGGTTTGTTTAAAAAAAAAAGAAAGAAAAAAATTAAGAAGCAAATCAAAGCTCGCCCTTACATTGTTTATACTTTGGTTGGGAAACATAAGACAGGTTGATATATATTTTCTAAGTCATACAGGAAACATCTCTTCTTTCACACAAAATGGGTTATTATGTGATCTTACAGAAATAAAAGGTCACCTCCTCTGCTGAAAAAATGACTTAAGCTTAATTTGATAAGAGTCCTTAAAAATAAGGCTTCAGAAAGATAACTGAATGAATGGGTCAGTGACTTTAAAGTAACTGCCAATTGCAAAGCATACCCAAAAGCAAATAAGACAAAGGCTTTAAAAATTGTGTTGAGACCATTTTAAGTGTATTGAAAAGAACTGGAGACTATAATGGATCAAGCAAAATAAATACAATTCAAGGCAGAATTTGAAGAAAATGGAAAACCACGTGTTTGACTTATTTTTATGTTCCTGTTTCTCATACAACATACCCACGCACCTCATTTATTTTTGTGCTTGAGTATGCTCACTTCTCTAGAATGCTTTAATGTGAAAGGAAGCATATAGGATTGTACATTTAAAAACCTTTGCAGTAGTGTTCACTCTTTAAAAGTATATGTATGAATGTATAAGTACACAAAGATGAAATATATATAATAGTTCATTGTTCATTACCAAGAATTTCTCTTTTACCTACCTAATCCTAATTGTTTCCCATTTTTATCCTTATTCTCC